TCAGATTTCAACCCTTGCACTGTTTGAATTGTTTCTTGCAATTTTTGCTTTGTCTTTTCCTTCATTTCTTTCACTTTTTGGATTTTTTCATTTGTTTTTTCTTCTATTGCTTGCATATTTTGGTTTCTTTTCTTAAATTTTTTTACTAATTCTTTAAGGGATTTTCCCATATCCTCTTTGAGGGCCTCTATCATTTTCATGAAGTTCTGCTTCATTTAGATTGGAATGTCTTGCTGGTGTAGAGTCTCTAGACTCTGGTATTGTCATATTTGTTTTCCTGTTGCTGAGTGTTTTTTTATATTGTCTCCTTCCCATTCCTTCTTCTAGTGGGTGCATAAAGAGCCTCTTCCTGGTCTACTGTGTAGGGAACCAGGGTCCCCTTTCGGTTGATGCAAGCAAGTCCAATACTCTGGTAGTTCTCTTCCTGATCCTAGTCCTAGTCCCGTGGGCCTGTGGGTGTAGGAGACCAGGAGCTGGGGTACATTGGTTCCTGCCAGGAGGGGAGATTCAGTGGCAGTCCTCTGGCACTGAAAGGTAGGCCCAGAAACAGGCCCCCTTTTACTTTGTCCATTCATTAGTTTTTTAAATTTTTTTATCATTTTTATTTTAATTTTAAATAGCCTGTTTTACATGTCAATCCCAGTTCCCTCTCCCTCCCCTCCTCCTTCACTCCCCTTCCCTCTCACCCTCCCACCCTATTGCCAAATCCTTCCACATAGTGGATATCTAGAGTCTGTCATTTCACTCTGGGTAGGGTCCAGGCACTCCCCAAAGAGTCCAGGCTGAGAGAGCATCCCTTTTTGTGCTATAGGCACACGATGACTGTTTGTATACCAGGGATAGACACTGATCCACAGCTCAGGGCCCCATAGGTTGCCCAGGCCTTCTCGCTGACACTCACATTTTGGGGGTCCAGATCAGTCCCATGCTGGCCTCTCCACTGTCACTCTGGGGTCCAAGAGCTCTCCCCTGTTCAGATCAGCTGTCTCTGCTGGTTTTGCCAGCCCATTCTTTGCCTATTTGCTCATCACTCCTCTCTCTCTGTCACTGGGTTCCTTGGGTTCAGTTCAGTGATTAATTGTGTGTTTGCCTCTGCTTCCATCAGTCACACGATGAAGGCTCCTGGATGGTTATAAACATCAAGTTCATTATCAGGAATGGGCATTCGAGGTAGTCTCTCCACCATTGCTTAGCTTGCCAATTGGTGTTATCCCTTTAGATCACTCGAGGTCACTGTGGTGCCTGATCTGTCTTCTATCCTATGATTCCCTCTTCCCCCTATTCTACCCCCACCCACTCAACTTCCTGTTCCCCCATGACCAACTCTCTTCCTCTTCACCCCCTCTCTTCTTCCCAGCTCCCACTCCCCCCCACCCCTCATCGTGTTCCCCATCCATTCAGAGGATCTTGTCTCAATCCACTTCTCTCAGAAACCATTGTGTAGATTATTACAGGAGATATTTTCTTTATTTTTCTTACTAGGATGACACATCATTTAAACAGCAAAGGATTAAACTAAGTGACCCATTCTATAATGTTTTTCCTAAGTGTGAAAGCATAACTCAAAAGCTTCAAAGGCTATTTCTAAGTATTATTTTAATTATTTGTGACTTACAAATCCATATTTTAAATGAATTAAAATATATGTTTTAAATTCTTCAATGGCAAACTGCATCCTTATATTTTCCTTATATTTATAGAGGAATGTTATAAATGAATTAACCTGGTGACATTTAATATATTATTATACCATCAAATAAATTAAAGTTCCTAAGTAAAACAGTTATTTCAGAAAAAAATGGTGTTTCCATTTGCTTTAATCAAATTAAGATGACAGATGTTGTACACTAAAATGCACTTCATTTTACAGCTTAAAATTAAAGATGGTGTAGTTATTAAAAATCCAGTAATTTGCTCATCCTTGATGTCTTAAACACATGCCTTTTTATTTTATGTGGCTTCTGACTCTTGAATGTACTACACTGATGTCTTTACAAAGATGTGAAACAGAAGATCAGTATTTGACATAGTATGTCGCAAGGCTAAATGATATGACACATTCCTCAAAAGTCCCGTAGTCTGACAGACGGTGGTCATGTTCATCAGGTGATTGCAACTGCTACTATTCCATACTTCCTTTGTTAGAGTACTTGAAATTTTAAGCTGATTAATACTCTTTAAAGTAGATATTAATAAAAATACTGCTTATTATTTTCATAGAACTCTCCTAAAAACATCTTAAAGTATATCCTTCTAACTATTCCATCATGTTATCAAACGTTGTAGTATTTCATATTTTAAACATTTGGCAAGAGAGTCTACTAGATTTTTTGCCCCCTAATCTTACAACAAATTGTTTGAAATTTTCCAATTCATCACATGATCACTTGTGTAAATGTGGGAGTAATATTAAGTTGTTGTGCACATTTGATTCCAGTGTCACAGTGGTCTATATCCTTCTATTAACCAAATAATTACAGATCCTAGAGCCTGGGTTTCTTCATCTCTCTTAAGATGAAATGAAATCGATTTCTCACTAAATTTCCCCTGACTCACAAATTTCATAAGTCGTCTTTATCCCTACTTAGAATTTTCAGGGGTATTGATTTTATTAATTTTATTTTTTCAAAACATGTTCTGAGAGTTTTATTCCTCAAATGCTTTAAACAACATAACTATCTCTGACCACCAATTTTAGGAACCTTCAATGGTTTTAAGTTTTGGTCAGTCTCTTCAGAGTGTCAAAACTCATGCCTGTTTTTAGACATTGGCTTCTCTTTATCTGTTTTCTCAGGTAGCTGCAAATGGTTGTGCAATATGAGTTTAGTTTGGAGGTTTAGGGAAAAGCACTGGAAATATTTCATATGAAGAAATTAGGTTAAGTTTATGAACAAAAGCCTGATTATGGTAAAACTGATTTATTATCTATCAGGTATCTATCTATCTATCTATCTATCTATCTATCTATCTATCTATCTATCCATCCATCTTTCACCTATCTATCTACCTACTTATCTATCCTCTATCATCAACAGATATATCATCTTCCAGAATTACAATAGGATATCTGTTATGGTATACAACAAATCAGTCGATGCAACCACCAAGCATACACTGTGAAAATGAATACAGAATGTAGACTTGTTTGCTTCAAATAATAATGAGATTGATATTACAATAACAGGACCAAACCCATCTATAGGGAGCATAGGATGGAAACTGAGAATTGCTATGAGGTTAGATTGATATATTAATAGGTAATTTTTAACTTCCACAAAGAATAACATATTTAATTATTTTGTGAATGAATTTGTTTTATAAAACAATAGACTAGCATATAGAACAGAATGGTGATTATATGTTGGTCAGATTGAAGAGCTGAATGTTCTGCAAAGTGGAAATCAGCCAGCATAAATCCATGCAGCAAAGTAATTAAAAATACTGTTTGCTCTATACTACACTGGAAAAAATAAATCTTATGTATTTGTGTAAATACCTAAATAGTATAGAAAATTCTTATGGATAAGATGCATTAAGGAATTTCTTCAAAAATATTTCAGGCTGTAATTTAATCAATCATGTTTTAAAACTTTGTGGATATGAAATTTTGGACTTTTATACTAGGGGTGAGTTAAATATTATACTTCAGATTTACTTTTAGTACTCCACCAAAAGGAGAAAAAATATTGTTAAGCTTTCCAAATAGATTTGTCTTATATTCCTCCCTCCTTAATAGGATGTTCATAAGATCACAGCCATGAAGGTCAGGAAAAGTGTCACTGTCCTACCTATATTTTCCTGAACATAGACTCACACATTTTTAATGCAAAGAATAGGGACATAAAGCATGTGTTGTTCTTACTGCTTGGTATATAAATATAGCCTATAAGAATGGCTTTGAACTGTGTATGAAAATGTGTGACATAAGCATTATGATGATTCTTTGACTAAATTGTTGCTTTCAGTTTCAATGGAGGTGGGCTTTTATGAGGTTAAGAAGTTATTAACTTCAGTTATAAACTTTTATCACTGTTTTCTTCCACATTGTCCAGAAATAATGTTCATGTATAGAACACATATTTATAGTTTAACAGGATGATATGCCAGGAACTATACCATCATTTAGAGAAGTAGAACTAGTTGTTAGGCACTCAAATTACTTAATAATTTAACTAACTCATAGAAGACTCCCCATAAAGTTTCTCATATGAATGCAATTAATCGAGAACAATTCTAACAATGTGTGGTAATTTCTCACCTTGTTGTTTTCCTTGTTGATTCTTGAAGGAATTCCAGGTTTCAGTATGACATAGCACTTTTAGCAGAGGCTTTCATTAATTTATTTGCTGTGTAAAAGTTCCCTAAGCTCTGTTTACATATAGTAAATAAATGATGCTATTTTCTTGTGCTTTTGCATTAATTGGCACTCACTGGAGCTCATTTTGGAGTGTTTTAGATATTTTAAACTATAACTGGTGTGAAGATAAGCCATTGAGTCTTGGCTATTTCATATCCTTGTTGATATTTAAAATTTCAGAAGCCACAGTTTCTTCTAAGTTCCTCAAACCATGGAATTTAGATGAACAATGATGAAGATTATAATGTTACCATAAGCTATTGGGTCAACCTTGTAGAAGTGTAACTTAATAATGGCTTTTTGAGAAAAATAGTGTCTGAAATGATGCAATTGACTTTGCCAAAAATTGTAACTCAACACTAGATGAACGACACTTTAGTGTTATAATGTTTATTTATAGTCCCTGGAAATTAAATGACATTTTGTAAAACGGGCTTTAAATTACCAGTGAATTCCAATGCCAGCATATGTATTTATTCTTGTGGAACCTTTTCATCATATGTTTTATTTCTTAGATATATCATGTACAATATATACAAGTGGAATAATATAAGCTTACTTTCATGAGTGAGCTTCATTTTATCATCATCTACTAGTCTCAAGTGGATGATTAATGGAACTGTTTTTGGTTTTCCCCCCACAGCTACTGGACAAAGCAGAATTTAAAGAGACCAAATTAGCTCCAGAGTAAATCTACTAAATGGTGAGTGAAGTTATCATAAGTCTCTCATTCTCCATTTGTGATGCTTATTTTATTCTCCATTTTTTGCCAAGAAACACAGTTTGGATTCTCTTCTGTAGAATAATGTCAATGAAGTCTTTGAGAAAGTGGTCAAAACAAGACCAACTCAGCAGAATCCTACTCAACATCTGAGCCTCATCCACGAGACTGTTTTGAGAGAAGAAGGATAGAGTTTTATAATGTAACTGGATTCATGAATTTGGTTCATGAATCAGTTTGTCAAGCTTAAGTTAAAAAAATCAATGCACAATCTCACACACACAAAATTACTCTTAATGATGGAATCATTCGCTGTCAGTTCATTTTATCTTTTTCTCTTAAACTTGTGTTCACATGTGACTAACTTAGATAACATGTAAGTAATCACATCCCATGATTAAACGTAATTTTAGACAAGTTTTAATTTGTTCACACAAACAATATTTGTATTGAAAAATCTGGAAACATTTTAATCACATCAGATTTACATCAGGAATTGCTGCTCTGAGGACCAGAGCAGCATTGCTAGACACATACTCATTTCCCTTCTGGATGTTTATAATTAGTTTTTTATTAAAAACAACACATTTATGCATTAAGTAGTAGATTATACTGTACTTAAGTGTGAAAGCTAAGCATATGACATCATATTTTATCTTGTCTTCTTATTTAATTATCTAGGAGGATTCACAATGACAACTCTAGGAAGGACTGCATGGGTATTCCACCCCGTTCTGGCTTGACAGATAGGCTGTGTTTACTCTCTCCCTTGTAGTTATATGCAAGATTTGATAAGGGAAAGGTTTCCACTTTATGGGACTTTGGTTTACGATTTGAATTTTTTTATGTCCAAAAGAAGATCATTGATCCCACATTGTGAAAATTTACAGAGCAAGCAAATGAACCACTCACTTCAATGTTTGTAAATTTGAGTTTAACAGAGAAAAAAAAAAACAGACGTGTAACTTCCATAGACCCAAGCATGCACACACACTTTTACAAAGCACTTGAGATTAAAACAACAAGATTTATCAATGTAATAGAAAGTGGTTTATTAGCACAATTATAGGGAAAGTTCTATGAACTCCAGAAGTGAAGATATACTACTATTATGTGTTCAGTTAGTATGTGTATGTGTGTGTGTGTGTGTGCATGTGTGTGTGTATAAACATATAGTTTGATGAATCCATTGTACCTGGTATTAGGAGACATATCTGCAATGGTGATTTCAGTTTCTGCCTGACTCAGTACTGGTATATGTAATCAAAGGATGTACAGTCAGGGTCCTCCTGTAGGGAAAAGGAAAAGGCATTTAGGATACTGAGCTAGGAAAATAAATCAGCAAACCTCCACATCTGACAACTTTCAGCATGAGGTGTGTTTTGTTATAATGATGCTTAAAACCTTAGTACATGTGAGAACTGGTTCTTTCCCTTAGAGAGCATGTTTTCTTTGCACTTCTAATAAAGTCAGCAAATACACTCATGGGAAACAAAAGTCCCTTCCCGTCTGTCCACTAAAAGTTAAAATCTTGATTTCTGCTGAGTAGAAGAAGTAAAATGTAGCACCTTTTAAATCTGATACAAAATTAGAAACAATAAGTATTAGTCAAATCTTTGAAAATTTCCTGTGTTTTCAGATATCTTTAGACTTTTACACCTGAATATTTGTAGAACTTCATGGATCAAAAATGGTTGAAAAATCCAATTAAGCCAGATGTTATGTTTGGTCTTCTGCTTCACTCTCACAACCAATAGGCTAGGCCCAGTTATCAGTAAGAAACAGAAGTGTCTTACTTAGGGTTTCTATAGTCGTGAAGAGACACCACCATCAAGGCTTCTCTTACAAAAGGTGAATATTTATTTGAAGTGGTATCTTACAGTTTCAGAGGTTTATTCTACTATAATCATGGCAGGGAGCATGGAGGCATGTATGCAGGCATGTAGGCAGACATGTTGCTGGAGAAGGAACTGCTACATGTTGATATGCAGGTAACAGGAAATAGACTGTCTCATGGGCATGGCTCGAGCATACATGAGACCTCAAGACTACCTTCACAGTGACACTTTTTCTTTACCAAGACCACTCCTTCTAATATCACCACTCATTTTTAGGGCCATTTTGTTTCAAACTGCCACATTCCACAACTTGGTCACCAAAGGTTTGTAGCCATATGATAAAGAAAAATTCATTCAGTATTTCAAAAGTCTCCATAGTCTATAACACTCTCAAACTTACTTAAAACATCAAAGTTCAAAGTCCCTTGCTCTTGGAATATTTGTTGCTAAGTTCTCCAAAAAATTTCTGCAAGTTATTTACCAGTGTTCATTTTCTGCCCACAATGAGGCAATTAAAACATTAATAAAAGGTACCACAATTTCTGTTGGTTCTATTCCTGTAAATTGATGAAGTCTCAATTTCCCTTACAGAATCAATTCAGAAAACTTTTCTACTCTGTTTTTGTGATAAAAGTATCCATTCTAAGATATTATCTTCTCTCTTTATAAAAATTGCTATAGGAGAATGAGTAGAAGATATAATGACTAGGATGCAGTCTATCTCTGGATCCAAGTGATTCACATGCGCATCCATCCTGTAATTTCTTCTGTACCAGAGCCAATTCTCTCTCAGCCTCATCTGAGAGTTTTCTTGGACCATTATCACTTTGTAAGATTTGAAATAAATTACTTATTTCTTGAGTAGTTATTCAAATTGTGGACCATAACCATTTAATATCTCCCAACCATTTTTGAAAATAATTGAGTTCATAAATTGATCTCTCCTGATATGTACTGTCTGTGATTGAATTTTCTGTGAACCTATCTTATATCCTAAATAATTAATAGAATCTCTTCATTGTTTTTCATGAGCAATCTGTAATCCTCCAAAAGGCATTTCCCCTTTACTTCATTAAACACCTTTTCTAAAGTATTTACATCTGAATCAGCCACTAAGATATCATCTATATAATGGTAAACTTTAAATTGAGAAAAGTTTACAAATTAGTTCTAATGGATTTGTGCAAAATATTGGCATAAGGTGAGACTGTTTAATATTCCTTGTGGAAGATTTTTCCAATGGTTCTTTTTAACGGATCAGAAATTTTTGTAAGTAGGCACTGTGCAGGCAAAGTATTCCCTATCCTATTCTTGTAAAGGTATAGTAAAGATGAAGTCTATTAAATCAATCACTATACTAGACCATCCATTAGGTAATAAAAAAAGGCAAGGGAATTCCAGAATGTAAAGATCCCATTGGCTGAATCCCCTTACTTACAGCTCTTAAATCTATTAGCATTCTCCATTTTCCAGATTTCTTTATAATGACAAATACAGAAGAATTTCAAGGATTGGTTAATTCTTCCAAATGGTGAACATCTAACTGCTCCTGGACAGTTAGCCCATTTAAAGGTAGTACTATTGGCATCTTTGAGAGAATAACAGCTGTTGTGTCCTGCTTATGTACAATCTCTTAGAAACATTATTTTATGGTTTGTTTCTGCGATTGGAGAAATGAGCTTTGCTGTGTTAGTCACATAGGGTTTTAATTTTCTTATCTGTCCTTGCCCTACACACTCAATCCAACTTGTGCTTTCTTTTACCTGAGTCAAAGTTACAGTCCCTAAAAGCTGAACATTTACCTCCTGAAGAGGCCAATTTGTACGCCAAGATTTTGATGAAATGTTACATCTGTACCTGTGTCATTCAAATCCTCAATTTCAATGACATTTATTTGTATTTTTAGCTTTGTTCTCTGATCATTTATAGCAGTTTGCCAAGATACTTTTTTTCTGGTCTTACCTGGAATTTTTGTTGTATCTGTTGAAGCTGTTCTGTCTTTGATCACATCCAGAGAAGTGTGGTTTTAATCAACAGGTATTAAGGTTTTTTGTTATTGTTGTTTTTGTTTGTTTGCTTGTTGTTTGTGGGTTATTTTGGTTGCTTTGTTTTCTGAGACAGTGTTTCTCTGTGTAGCTTTGGAGCCTGCCCTTGAACTTGCCCTATAGACTAGGCTGGCCTCAAGGTCACAGAGATCCATCTACCTTTGCCTCTAGAATGCTGGGAAGTCTGCTAATTGCTCTGTGGATGAGCTTCTCCAATCTGACAGGGAATGACTGAATCAAATTTGATACATTTGGTTGAGGTGGCAGCTTACAGTTTCAGAGGTTTATCCTATTATCATCATGGCAAGGACCATGCAGGCAGACCTGGTGCTAGAGAAGGAGCTGCTACATGTTAATATGCAGGCAACAGGAAGTAGACTGCCTCCCTCAGCATTTCTTGAGCCTATATGAAATCTCCAGCCTCTTCCAACAAGGCCACACTTCCTAAAATTGCCACACCCTTTGGAGACCATTTTCTTTCAGAACACCAAAAGGACTAAATTTTTATTTTTACTTATATAGTAAATTTCAGAATCATAACAATTATATATTTGTATAAATAATTTCTTCATGGGAAATGATCTACTTAAAAGGTTTGGCTGCCCAAGAAAGGAGCACTTTCCCTTCTTACTTCATGGGCACTATTTTTTTCATCCCAATGAGAAAGTACAAATATCACAAAGAAACTGTTAGATTGTATCTCCCCACTTGGTAGTATTAGTATTCTAAGTTATGCATGTCCAGTCCATTAAAATTTCTGCTCAGAGTTTCTAACATAGAATTATCAAAACCAGAAGTTACTTGTGTGTGTTAGTAATGCCCCCAAATGTGGTACGGCTTCTGAACACATTTCTTGTTGTACTATCATGTTTGTAAGTCGGATACCTCAGTTTACATTCCAAATCTTTGACTCAAACATGTATACTCATTTACACATGAATTTATTGGGATAACACTAACCTCCTGCAGCATGAATTATAAATTCCCGTGGAAAGGCCTTCGTTGTGAAAACACTTGCGCAACAATAATGTCAGAGAGACAAGTCACCTCCTATGACCCTTCCTTCATTCTCGTTGACAAGTACACTGGTTAGGAAGGA